GTGTATATATACATGCAATGGAATACTACTCAGCCAGAAAAAAGACAAAATCATCCCATTTGCAACAACATGGATGGACCTGGAGGGAATTATGCTAAGCAAAATAAGCCAGACTGAGAAAGACAAACATCAGATGATTTCACTTGTATGTGGATATGAATACGAACAAACCCACGGACAAAGAAAACAGTTTAGTGGTTACCAGGAGAAGGGGAGTAGACACGGGGTGAGCGGGCACTCATGTGGTGACAGACGAGAAATAACGTACAACTGAAATTTCACAATGATGTAAACTATTATGAACTCAATAAAAAGCTAAAAAAATTAAAATAATAATAATATCTGATTAACTAGAAAATACAAGCAGTTTTTCATATATTTACTAGCAGGGGTTTCCTCACATACAAACTGCCTAATCATATTTTCACCTATTTTTCTACTAGCTTGTTTTATTGATTTATAGGGCTTCTTTATATATTCTGGAAACTTAACCTCTGTACAAAAATGCAAATCTTTCCATGCATATGGACTCTTCTGGGAACTGACCATTATTTGCCCAGTACTTTATTATGCCATTTCTTTTCTTCATTAATACGTAGAAAAGGTAAGTGAATACGAATCATTTTTCTGTTAATGGTTTGCTTGCTTCTGCCACACTGTGCCTTGATTTTGCAATTACGTGTTTTATTTTTTAATTAGATGATGCATATACACAATTCTATACTTTTATAACTTAAAAATTTGACAACATATTTAACTATGATAGACATAAATATAATCATCATGATAATGACAATAGTACCTGCCCTAGCCACCTCATAGGACTGTTTCCTCAGTTGAATGATGTAACATATTTTGCAAACTCTAATATGTAAACCATAATAGAAAATCTCTCACAGAAAAGTCACAAGGCTACTTCTAAATAAGACATTTGAAAAATGACTCATTTGCAAGCAATCGAAATTCTCGTTTAATTAATAATAATCTGCAAGTTCTCAGGAATCACCTCCAACCTTAATTTATGGCACCCCAGTGGGAGATCGGTTCTGCCCAGGGATTCCCTATTGGAACTTTCTCTATAAACATGTCAGTTCTAATGGATTACACCCTCAATCCCACTATTTCACAAGATGAGAGGGGCACTTTAAAAGCCCATGTTAAATTCCCTGCTGAAAATGACTATTACTTTCTAGGCTGACTTGCAGAGCACTTCACAAATAGACCCTTAGTACTTACTGTTCATTATTAAAAATAAGACAAAATGTCTGCCCTTTATTATATTTCATCAACCCTACACTTTTATAAGTATTTAGTAACATTTTCTGCAGGATAATTTACATCTTCCTCATTTACACAATCCCCTTTAATAATGTGACCCAGATTAATACAGTTCCAAAGACTAAAACTGCGATTTAAAAAGACCATGCATAATTTCAAGAAAGTCAAATTTTTACACATTGGTTCCTAAAGATAACTTAAGTCAGAAATTAGGCAGTGCAGAGAGTGATAAGCTGAACAATGGTCCCCAAAGAGACCCCTGTCCTAATCCCCAGAATCTGAATGTTAAGCTTGCATGGCAAAGAAGACTTTGCAGCTGGGATTAAGGTTAAGGACCTTGAGATGGGGAGATTATCCTGAATTATCCCAGGGGGATCCTTCTAATCTCATGAGCCCTTAAAAGAGGAAGAAGGAGGTAGAAGAGTGGGTCAGAGAAATGTAACGTGAGACGGATGTGACCCACCGTCTCTGGTTGTGAGGGTGGAGGAAGAGAACCCTGAGTCAAGGAAAGCAGTAGCCTCCAGGAGCAGGAAAAGGCACGGAAATGGATTCTCTGTAGAGCCTCCAGAAAGGAACACAGCCCTGCCAACACCTTGATTTTAGCACACTGAGCCCCACATTGGACTTCTAACCTACCACACCCTAAGATGATAAATTTATGTTGTAGAAATTTGTTGTGGCAGCAACCAAAAACTAATCCCAGAGCACACCTAGCTCATTTGCAGGAAATAAAGCAGTTAGAAGCACATACTCTGGAACCCAGCTCCTGACTTGAACTCACAGCTCTACTACTTGTCAGCTGTGTCAAGTTAAACCAATTATTAACTTCCTTAAGGCTTGGTTTTCTCATCTGTAAAACAGGGTTAACAGTAGTATCTATCTCATAAGATTGTTGAAAGACTAAATGAATTAATTCATGTAAAGCACTTAAAATACTGTTTCACAGGGGCCGGCCCAGTGGTGTAGTGGTTAAGTTCGCACACTCTGCTTCAGTGGCCCAGGGTTCCCTGGTTCGGATCCCAAGCGCAGACTTATGCACCACTTATCAAGCCACACTGTGGCAGGTGTCCCACATATAAAGTAGAGGAAGATGGGCACAGATGTTAGCTCAGGGTCAGTCTTCCTCAGCAAAAAGAGGAGGATTGGTGGCAGATGTTAGTGATGTGGATTAAGGCTGCCCCAGGTAGAGAAGCCCAAGGTGACCTGGCCTACATGCCGAACTATATGACCCGGTGGATTTTTATGGTATGAATTAGGGCTGCCCCAGGGAGAGAAGCCCAGGGCATCCTCACCTACATGCCGATCTATATGACCAGATTTGTATCTAAAGTTATATGACCGCACAATAACCAGACCCCATCTGCACTGAAATCATTTAATGACTTTTTACATCATCTTTTCTTTTTCCAGTAACAATAAGTCACGTACCCATGCCTTATAAATTTAGCCCTAACCCTCAACTCAGGGCAGCAGCAGGAGCTCTGACTGCCCATGGGTCCTGTCCCCATGCAGCAGCAGGAGCTCTGACTGCCCATGGGTCCTGTCCCCATGCTATTCTGTACTATTCTCCAAATAAAAGAGCACCACTGCCAGACCTTGAGAGTCCAAGAAATCTTTCTTTCGACTCCTCGGCTCACCGACCCCGCATCATTAGCTCAGGGCTAAGCTTCCTCAACAACAAAAGAAAAAACGTTGTTTCACAGACAGAAAGCACTAAACACATCCTAACTACTGCTATTGTTGATTTTAATAAATAATGTTTTAACTACCTTCTTTTCCAGTCACCCACAGAGAAACCACAAGATCAACAGTCTTCAAAAGAAAGAAATGAGCCCTTCCAAAAATGAAAGGTTTCTCCACATATCTACAAGCAGTCTCCATAATGGTCCCAGCTCCACTGAACTACCACGCGGTTCTTCAAGAGTCATTCCTGATAATGAAGGAACAGATGCCAAAGTCACAGTGTCACCATGAACTCCACTAAGTGACAAACGCTAACTACAGGGCCTGACAGAAAAAGTGCCCATCAAAGAGTAAGAGCTGCTTTATTAAAAATAATAGATGTAGCAAAATTAGTTTCTGCTGAAATTTGCAATAATTGGCATTTTTCTAGTTATTTGGTATTTATACAGCACTTTTCATTTGCAAAACGCCTACCCTATCATTTCTTCATAAACAATTAAAATTTTTATTTTACTTGGCCACTGAGTTGGCAACATTTACATAAATCGGTACAACCAGGCTAAGCAAGGTTTATTCACATTAAAAAAACACAAAGATACAACAATTGGTAATTTCCACAAAACGCAGAAGTAAAATTCAAAAGTATAAATATATATTCTATTTCTTAATTCCACACTCTATACCAGCTCAAAGCAGTGTCAAAACTCAAAGAATAACAACACAATCTCAGATAGAGGGAGAAAACAAAACCTTTTAACTCCAGGAAGAGGCATCAGTACAAACGTTTGTAAAGTGTCATAAAAAAAATGTGTTTGGGTTTTTGTTTTTGTTTTGTTTTGTTTACAAAATCAGTAACTAAGCAGACTAACAGAAAAATGTATTATAAAATAATTCCTACACTTTTCCTATAGTAAAAGCAATAAAATTCACAATTCCAAGCCTGAATAAATCTAAAATTTAATTACATGATATTTTTAAAGGTAATTAAACATGCCCCAGCAACAATATATTGTTAGGCTCTCAAAAGAAACACTTCCAATTAGTTACATAAAATGTATAGACTGACTCCAAATTATTTTTCTATCTTTTCATTATTTCAAGCTCTGCAGGACTACAGAACTAGTAAGAACTATAAGAACTAATTTTTATCTGAAAAGCCAATGATAATCAACATTACTATTTCTTTAAAAGGCATTGAGGATTTTGGCTGTCACACGAAGGCACCTGCAGGGCCTCCCACAAAGACATCCAGTTCCCTTCTCCCCAACCCAAAGCTACAAGGCAGAGCAGCTCTTCGCAGAGCCCCAGAAGTTCTCTGAGCCCAGATGAGTCGAGCCCTCTGAAAAGGCAGGTCTGAGCCATTCCAGAAGAAATCCCCTAAATCATTGCATCCGTATTCAAAGTACATCCTCCCTCACTCAACTTTAAATATAGGTCAAAATGACTCTCCTTTGTCTTATGCAACAGGATATTAGGTAGCCCAAGAAGAAATGTGATTACTTTGTAGATATGTCCTCAAAGTACGTTCTGCATGTGTATGTATTTGTGTGTGTGTACACGCGTGTGCAGGCATATACTGGACATGTAGAGGCCACTGGAAGATACAAGTAATCAGGATATAGAACAGAGGCCATACACTCAAAAGCTCTCAAAGACCAGACAGGGAATGTAATATTTGAAGCAGCTGGGTAAAAGCTACCAGGAGCAATAGAGGTTATGGCAAAAAAGAAAATACACTATCAAAAAGCATTCAAATTCAACTTTAGAGAAACAAACAGTGCTGGTCAAATAAAACACATCATCTATAGCTGGAGTCAGCAGGCAGGCCAGACTCAGCTGCCAGTCTTCAACCTTGATAATGCAACAGGCCCAACCAATCATCTTCTATCTTATTTCCTCTGAGGGTGGCAAAGGGTCATCACAGGCTCCAGGCACCAACCTCAGGACCTCACTCCCCCGACCCGACAGGCTCCCTGGGGCTTTTCCTAGGAACAATAGAAACTAAAAAGCAGTTAGTGGCTGAAGATTTAAATACTTACCACTGGAGCTTCCAGGAGTAGAATACTGCGAGGTTTCAAGGAATTTTCGAGGAGTAGGAAGGTTTGTAACATCAATCAGAGGAACAGGAGAAGCATCTTTCACAAGGGAACTGAAGGGGAAAAGTAGCAGCAGTTATTTACCACTTACTCCAAAACCAACCTAAGTCCCACTACATGCCTGGCCCTTATTACTTTCGTTTTGCCTTGAGCCCTCATTACACCGTGACTTCAAATATCTCCCAAGTATATTTCCAGTAAAGTGGTGATTGTTGCAATATATAAAGATGTATTCTAAAGGTCCCATGTATTTAAATTTTTGTCTTTTCATTTCAATGCTGGATTTAAAAAAATTAGTGTAAGTATGTTCTGGATCATCTGAATGACCATCTTATAATGAAATTATGCCATGCAATTTCAATACCCTCCTTTATTTCTATATTAAAATTAATTTATCAGCAAAGAAAGGTCAAATGGCACATCATAACTGAATGAAGGTTTAACAATGGTTAGCCTAATTTAACTTGTGTTTTTCAAGTTGGAGTTTTTTGACATATTCTGGGAGTTCATTACATTTAATTTTCTTTAAAAGGGGTTCATAAATTTCATAAAGTTGAGAAACACTACAATAAAAGATGATTTAAGGAATCTTAAACAGGTTAATTCAGTATTTCGTTACCCATTTCAGCTTTTCCAAAAAGGCCTTGCCCCTCATAATGATTAACTTGAGAGTTTTCAAAATAATTTTAAATAACACAAAGATTATAAAAAAACAATTAAATTTTCAAGTTAATTCCCATTTACAGGCATCTGTTAAATGTAAGAATATAGGCAATGCCAAGGCGAGTTAACACCTGAGCCCTACCCTCAAGAAAGTGAATCATCTAATCATATTGTATCTAAAACAGAAAAGCTTCTCTAAGTCCCAAGGGTAGAGAGGTCAAAACCATAGTTCTCACCTCTTTCCAGTTCCAATAAACATCAGTAGTCGTGGCCACCCATGGAAGTGATTCTCAAAGTGGGTTGTAAAGGAAGGGCAGGCAAAGGGGGAGCAGGGACAAGACCACACCTGCAGGAAGACTTTCTCCAAATGAGATTGAAGAACGTGTGTGATTTTGAACATCTGCCCCTCCACAGTAACATAACCCCATCTCCCTTCCACACCCCTTTTGGAACCAAAGTGCGAGGAATGTGTGTATTTTTAAACTAATAAAAAAAATAAACATAATCTTTCAGAAAACTTTGAAAAACAAACTTTAAGTTAAAGGGCAAAATTATCACTTAAGGTATTATTTTTATCTCATGCTGATGATGTGTGAGCGATTGTTCTAGGCTGTGAGAATAACTATGACCGTCATTAACTTCTCCCTTTTCACTTCTTATAGAGAAGGGGGAATCATTACACAAACAAGTCTTGAGCATCTGTTACGTGCTTGGCACTGCGCTCAGCGCTGAGGATCCAAATATGACTAAGATACGAGCTAAACAAAACGTAGCACATTTCCAATTGCTGGAATGACTTGCAGACTAATGTGAAACCTCAAGTGAAGTATAAGATATAAAAGTAACAGAAATAGCATTTACCAGGGACTGAACCAAGAATAGTTAGTTCCAATAACTCTTTTCCTCCAACATAAAGCTCTAAGTTCCTATTTGCCTAAACTATCTTAAGATAATCCAATGGTGCCTTCAAATCCACTGACTTGTCACAACAGTTTTCTAGTTATGAAATCAATTAGATCAGAGATCTATCCACTCATCTTTTACATACTGACTCCTGTTGTCTTCTCATTTTTTCCTCTCAGCTACCTCATCCTCTTTTACCTGTCTTTTACTCACAATTAGAAAACCAGCTCTACGCACCTCCCTAGCCTCTAGATACAAATGCCCAGAGAGACAAAGAATGGTCACCGATGTTTACAGTGCTGCTACTGAGTAAGTGAGAAAAAATTAATTTCAATTTTAAACGATAGTAAAAATAGTAAATTTTATAAATATTTCCATAATAAAAGTAGAGGAGTTATTTTTAAAGCACTGGTAAATGAAGGTATCAGCAGGAAAATTCAGGTGTACAGCTGGAATACTGCCTGCCAAGCCTACAAATGAGGGAGCACAGTTAGCGCATATGTGTGCGCACAGTAATATGTATATATATGTGAGTATAATACACACTTATATAAACACAGATGTGCACATGATTCACTTTAGGTTAAAACCTACAATTATTTTCTCAGTTTGAACCTCAAAATATATTTCAGTTAAATAAAGGGTGATAAACAGCTTGCCATTTTAACTTTGAAAAACATAACCTGCTGACTTTATTATCAGAGCCAGAAGGGCCCTCAAACTCCATCAATAAACTTTTAGAAAGTCAATTTACCGCAAAACTATTTTCATAGACTCATCTCTCTAAAATTTCCCCTTGGGCTTCAATTTTCTCCTTTGTGAACACTAAGCCAAAGGCAAGTAACTCTGGAAATGGCTTTTGGTTTTTCTCTTGTTCTTTTATGAAAAGAGTCTCAAGAGTTCAAGGGAAAGGAGGCACACCCACTCATTTAGTTACTGCAGACATTAAGCTCAAAAGAAGGGAGGTGCTACCAGAAAATATCACATTTAAGTAGGATGTACCTCAGTTTCCATTTCAGAAGAGGAAAAAAAGGCCTGTTCTCCCCATACCTCTGAGATGAAGTTGAGAAAGAATTATTATCCTTAAAGGGTTTTGAATCTCTCAGAGGAGGTATTATTGAAAAAATAAAATCAAAATTAGATTGTTCTTTCCAAATTTCTAATTAATATGAATGCTCTGAAATCTGCTTTATTTTGAAAGAAATATTGATAGAAGTTAGTTTTCTTTTCAAATACATACGATTACAAATTTTTCATGTATTCAGAATCATTCATTGCGGAGTTGAAAAAGACAACTCATGTCCATCAAATCCTTCCCAGTACGAGACAGTCCCCTAAAATTACTAATTGTGTATTGTGATTGAATGTGGTTTGCTGTTTAATAAGCATGTGGTGGCAGAGAGGAAAACTATAAAGCAAATTAAACGACACCAAAAACAACCACCTCTACTACCATAACCCCAAGGACTTTCTGGCTGTTAACCATCCATACAACTAGTAAAGATCTACTTCTAAATGTGTTTGATTTCAGTATTTCAAGTCATGAAAAGTTCGAGGGCGTTTTTTTTTTAAAGAAGAAGGCGTAAAAGTGCTAACAGCTTATTAAACATTTGCTTTTTAATTAGAATTTATTTCTGTTCCTTCACTTGCAATAAATATGTCCAACTATGTCCAAAATTTATAGCAGCAGCTCATTTGGATGATCTTACTGTCAAACTAAAACCTGACAGAGGTGAGTTGAACTTTAAGTTGTAAATCTGGTAACTGCCATAGTCTCCTCTATAACCCCAACAGCTGGCACAGTATGTATCAAAGAGCAAGTGCTCGCAAAAATTTGTTAAATCAAACTGAGCTGAGAAATATCTGTCAAAGATGATATGCCCTTAGTCAGAAAATTTAACTGAATAATGAAACAGGAATGGCTGGCATAGTAATTCTTATAGTTCTAAGATCTGCCTGAACATACAGAAAGAATAATGAATGATTCAGAGAGCGGAGAAGTCAAAAAGAGTCATGGTCTCAAATGCTAGACCAAGAGTGAAGACGTAATATGTACCAAATAAAGTGAAGCTAAAATCTAAGCAAAGAGGAAAAAACGAAAAAGAACTGAAAGATAAAAACAAAACAGACACATATAAAAAAGAAAAAAAAATTAAAGACAAAATAGTTACAGAGCAAATAATAAAATGGGATCAAGGTCACTCTGTACACACTCAAATACGGACACCAAAACCCATGGATGTGAAATTGACTCCTCCATGAGCTAGAGAGTATCCAAGGAAGCAAGGCCAAATCAAGTATTAACCCAGGATGCATGCAATAAGTAAAAGAATTAACTATTTTTTAGATAACTTCTTATTGATTTTATCTGACTATAAAGGTATTATAGGTTCTTTTGTGATAATATAAATAAAAATAACCTACTAATATAATTTTGATGTAATGCCCTCCAAAACATTTTACAGAAAGGAGTCTCCGTCTGTCCATCTATCTCTGCCCTCCCCTCACACACACATACATACATACCAGAAAAATGGACACATGCTCTTTTTTCAACATTCTTTGGATCATCCTGTACAGAACTCTAAATCCTAGTTTTTCCCTTCAACAGTAAACATTTTGACATTTCATTAAAAATAATTTTCAAAAGCATCATCAATCATTATATTATTCAAGTAATAATACAGGCCAATGATGAATGCATTCACAGTGCAGAGGGTATGAAGTAAGTCCTTCTTTCCTATTCCCAACCCCTCATTTCCATTTCCCATAGGTAATTCCTTTTATCAGTGTTTCACCATTATCCTTCCAGGAATTTTTTATACACATACAAATATTTATATCTATATATAAAAGCTACATATTTAAATATATATCCTTTCGATTCTTACACAAACAGGTTAATGCAGTATATCCTGTTTTTCAACTTGCTTTTTTGGGCCCAAGAATGCATCTTAAAAATCTTTCCCTATCACCACAAAGAGATCTTTCTCATAGATTTTAAGGTCTAGTATTACATGGCATAGATATACCATAATTCACTGAACCATACTCCTCTTGATGAACTTTGAAGTTATGTATTTAGTTGGGAATAGAGCCACCAGGAACAAAATAAAGGTTGTCATTAAAAATGAAGAAGAGGAGAATGGATATTGGGTGGGTAAAGGACTATCTCTGTCACAGCAGATAACGTAATTTTTTTTTTTTAAATTGGCACCTGAGCTAACAACTGTTGCCAATCTTTTTTTTTTTTTTTTTCTGCTTTATCTCCCCAAACCACCCCATACACAGTCGTATATCTTAGTTGTGGGTCCTTCTAGTTGTGCCGTGTGGGACGCCGCCTCAACGTGGCCTGACGAGCAGTGCCATGTCCGCGCCCAGGATCCGAACCCTGGGCCGCCACAGCGGAGCACGCAAACTTAACCACTCAGCCACAGGGCCGGCCCCAGATAATGTAATTTTTCATAACATAAATTTTCTTCCTCCCTGTTCTTAGAGAATTTGTTTTTGAAATTCATAAAAATTTCCTGATCACCTCTGAGAGTAAGTTTTTTTTTAATTAATTTTACCTTGAATCATTTTAATTTGCAGACCAAGGTCTTCTTTTCTGTTTAAGTAGGTTTCTTTATTTACACTATAATTATTGCTTCTGTTCCCCTTTGTATTAGTTTGCTACGGCTGCCATAACACAGTACCATAGACTCAGTGGCTTAAACAACAAGTTTATTTCCTCACAGTTCTGGAGGCTAGATATCCAAGATCAAGCTATTGGCAGGGCTGATTTCTTCTGAGGCCTCTCTCCTTCGCTTGTAGATGGCCATCCTATCACTATCTCTTCACACAGTCTTTCCTCTGTCGGGGGCTGTCAAAACTTCTTCTTTTTATATAGACACCAGTCTTATTGGATTTGGGCCCCTCTAATGACCTCTTTTTAACTTATTTAATTCTTCAAAAGACCCTATCTCCAAACATAGTCATATTCTGAGGTACTGGGAGTCAGGACTTCAATATATCGGGGACACAATTCAGCCCATAAACTATGATTTTAATGTCATTCTGTGGAATACCTAAAATCATTGGATTGATCACTATTGTCCATCTTTCATATCTCCTATCGTTTTTTCATCATCTTGTCTTTTTCCTCTTCTTGACAAGAAAATTTATCCCTCCACATCACTGATTCAATTCTTCTAATACTTCAAACAAAGACTTAAATTTCCCTACTTTATTTTGGTTTTCCTTAATTTGGTTCAGCATATGCTTGCTGAAAATCTCAGTAATGTTCAATAATAAGCACATATTTTGGTAGTTGGCTGATCCAGACTAGGCAGCTCAGCTGATCTTGGCTTGGTTCCACATGTCTCTCATCCTCCTCCTCCTGGGACCAACACCATCATGGCAACGGCAGAGGCATGAGAAGCCATGCCCATGGGCATAAGCACTTTTCAAGACCCTCCTTGTGTCACATGTGCTAATCATGGGCAAAGCAAGAGCACAAAAATCAACATACTTCTCCCACTAAAGTAGAGGGGGATGGAGTGATCATTTTCAACAATACTCTAACCTACTTCTACCTATATCATCTTGCATCTTTTGAGAAACCTCAAGCTTTAGTCTCCTAAATTTTTCTTGTTTTGCTTTACAAAATTTTCTTTCATATAAATGCTCTTCCCTGAGACCTCAAGGTAATTCTCACTTTCCCTTATGCTAAAAGATATTTTCACAGGACCCAGAGTGATTTTTTTTTTAATCCTTGCATGGGAACAAATCTATTCGGACCTTTTCATTTACCATCAGACACTGTGGAAGGAATCTCCTTAGCACTGCCCTCACCGACCACTTTACTCTCTGCTTAGGTACTGAGAGCTATTCTATTCAGATCCAGTCTTGAAGTGAAGTCTCAGGTACATGACCCTTAGCTCAATTTGCGTGCCTGGCAGAAGTTTGCCTAGTGCCCATCTGCAGAAAAGAGATAGAAACTCCTCTTTCTCTGTCAGAGTCACTGACTAAACTGAAGCATCACACACAAAGTTGGCAATTTTTGTTTGAACGAGATAGGACTTGAAAGACTTCATTCCCAGCATACACTGCTTCCAGTGCTCCTCTTGTCTATAGCTAGATAAAAAATATGAAGACATGTACTTCAGTAGATAGTGCTAAACTCTGAAAAGATGTTACGGCTATGTTAAAGGAATGTTGGAAGGACACATAACATGCACAGCTATCAGATACATGTTAATAACTGCAATGTTCTACTGTCTTAAGATCTATCTTACTCTCTACCAAGTCTACACTAACCTAATGAATTTCTTGAGTCCACCCAGGCCCTTAAATATAGGACTACACTACAACCAGCCCAGGGATAAAAGAAAAGTGTTCTCTCCTGAACTATTCCAGAAAGAGAGTTATCTAAAGCTGAACACAACCCTAAGAAACAAAGAATCTTATAACTTCACTTTATACATTTATATTTCTTAATTAGACTGACTTCACTGTCCAAGGATTTTTTTCACTTCCTTCTGAGCTATACCAGAGTATTGCTGATATAGGATATTAAAGGCCCACAGTAAATGTTCCTTATGTATCTGTGCATAAGAGGACCATAATAAATGTAAAATGAAAGAATGAACAAACTTTGAATGTCAGCCTTTTAGAACATGGAGTATTTACTATTATAAAACCATCTTATAGTTTCAGAGACAGTAAGTTAAAAAGAAAAGTAAGAAAAAACTACAACAATATTCTGGGAAAGAAAGAATTTTCCTTACATACTACATTGCCACAAAGCACTGTAGCAAAGAGCCTCTGTAACCGACCTCATCCCCCCTTTGTCCTTGCTGCGCTGCGTAACTCGGCTCGTAGACCTGATGTACAGGTGTCGGTGCAGTTCATCTATGAGAACCAAGTGGAGGTTCATCTTCTTGCTGTGAAGCTCCAACCTAAGGTCACTCAGTCCTTCCACCTGAAGCAGGGGACCCTCCAAAGACTCAACTGCTGACACCTGAAAAGGGGGAAAAAAGAAAGACAATTAAGCATGATAACTAAATAATCCAGCAATATTAGAAATAAGAAAGACTTTTTTAAAAGGTACTGTAGGGGAAGGCAAAAGGGGTAAAGGGGCATATATGTCTGGTGACAGATGGAAACTAGACTTTTGGTGGTGAACACAATGCAGTCTATACAGAAGCCGAAATATAATGATATACGCTGGAAATTTACACAGTTATAAACCAATGTGACCTAAATAAAATATTTTTAAAAGCCAGATAGAAATAAACAATTTTTTAAAAGTTGCTGTCTGTCAAAAGGGAGTTATGAGAACCTTATCAGCACACATCACCCTCTGCAGAGTATAATGTGGATAGGCCTAGTTCTGCCCTTGAGGGGTTTAACATCTGAGACAGAATTCCGAAGACGATAATTTGAGAAAGATAAACCTGAAGGCATGTAAAGCACCACCACAAAGCTGTACGTACTATTTATTCCCACACACATTGCCTATCTATGGATACATGTAACATGATCTTCCCAATTAAATGATATCATTCATATTTTCACAAGAACTCCATGTAATAATGGCTTAAAGAAACTTTTAGTCAAGGCTAGCCTTTTAAGATTAAGACTAAATAAAAAAGCACCATAAATTTTTTAATAAGTGCTTCTCACAATGGTCATGAGTTAGAGCTTAGTTAGCTTAAGTCTACATCTGTGTCTATATAGTCAGTCTCTCTCTCGCTCTCTTGTATACAGACACACGCACAAGTAAATGCAATTTTTACATGAATGCTCCAAGCAGACGATAGCAGCCATCCCCTCTCCTTGGCCTGATCCATTGTGACAGAAGAAAAGGGATCTGAATGGTGAACAGAAGAACAACTATGGAAAGGGAGACACTCCCGGTGTATAGTGCAACTGGGGAGTTTTTAAGACGAAAACGATTGGACGAATAAAATTGGTGTAGGAATGCCTACAACAAATGGAGAAGATGAGGGGCTCAGGGAACCTGGAGCAACTCACTCTGAAATCAAAGTGATAACTGTAAAGAAAAAAAAAAGACAGCACAGGTGATATCCCATTTATCCATGTATATAAAATTCTATATATGTCTTTCTATATGTATAAGGATTTTGTATATTTTGGAAGAAAAAAACTTGAAGTGAAGAGTATTCTCTAGGTACTAGTCCTTGGGGAAAAACAATAGGGGGGAGAGAGAAACACAAAGAATGCAAAATATATATACAATAATAATAAAGATGACTGTAAGCTGAACTCAGAGGGAAAAGAGCACTACCACGCTCCCTAAAAGAATTAATGTGCTATGAGTATTACCTGCTTAGGTTATACTTCTAAATACTCCAAATATGTACAGATGAAGGCAATAACTAATACTACTTCAGGGTAAAAACATTAAATGTAATTATGGATATAAACATGCTCCTAAAAAATAAAGCATTTATACAAAAGCAATAGATAATGAAAGGCATGAAACATACCAGCAATCAAAAATGCTGATCACAGATCTACACCAGTATAAGGTTGTGGACAGTGAAATAAAGAGAGCTTGGCGGCTGTCAAATACAAACTGGCCTGAGATGGGGAGGAAAACGCAATGGCTTACCCACAAACATCACTTGTTTCATGATATGCTATAATCAAATGTCAGGAGCAAATAAGTTTCCTTAAGTTAGCCAAGAAAGAATCAAAGAATGAAAGAGTGACAACCCCTGGGCCAGTTCTGCCCTCCGAAGCCTGCCAGTTCATTTTTACGCTGAGTGGCAACTGCCCCTGCTACAAGAGCCGCTGGGCCCCATACAAGCTGCCAGCAATTCCAAATGGAAAGGCAGTCTCACAAAATGACCAAAGTGTCCCCCAGGATGAAAAACAACAACAAATTCATTTACACTTATGCTCTAAAATGGATTTTAACTCGGGTCTCTAGCAGAGAAAGGAGGATGCATTAACCTTTAGTGACACTGAGATTCAGAAAATGAAAAATAATTTGGTAAACCACTGGCCCATCCTGTAGTCTTATCCCTTACGATAATTAAATGCAGCTGAGATGTTTATGCTTAAAAACCACCCACTGCACATCCACACTCGATTTGTTTGTAGGAATTTGCATGAAGATTTTTAACCCAAACGGCTCATGTTCCAAACACAAAATTATATGACAATGTCAACTTTCAAAGCCACTCAATTAAATTTTTTAAAATATAGGTAAAGCACTTGGCAGTGCCTGGCACAGAGTGAGTGCTCACTGAAATTATTTTTAACAGAACCTATTTATTCTGTGAATAAGGAAACCTCGGAGGATGTTCCCAACATGTTTTAATGCAGCAAATTTTCAGTAAAGTGCTGTTCCCTCATAGAACCATTATAAGCATTTAGATGACAAACTTTCTGAATATCTTTTCTAGACCCAAAGTACAAGTACATTTAACATATATATAATCCTGGGTAGTCTTAGAACTTCACAGATTTGAAAACCTTACCACAAAGAGAACAGAGAATAGCCTATTTCCATATGAAATACAGCACTTTATTTTCCGGCCTTCACTTTCTAAAAGACTATTTATAAAGTTATAACTATGGAAGCCAGGCAAGGTCATCATCTTCCCCTACTCTAACTTTACTAAGTGGTACTCAAACCAATTTGAAGAAAATAATTGTCAATTCAACATTTGATCTGGTTTAAAGTAGCTTGTACCACAAAGTTTACACATAAGGAAAACTTGGTGAGGCAGCAAACAGCCAACCCAACCCACCATCACTGATGGTCAGTTCTGTTGTACTGTGGGGTCTGGTTTGCAGGCATTTACTAACATCAAAGCTTTCCTAGCAGCAAAATCATTAAATATCCACCTACATTTAGAAATGATAGCATACATTTATCAGTAGCATAACTACAGATAAAAATACAACTAAAGAGATGTTTTTTAACATATGAGAAGAGGTCATTTTATACATTATCCCACTGTTTTCCAAATTTAATGACTACAGAGCACTTTTTAAAATACTGATGAAGCATCAACAGGAATTCAAGAGATCCAGTTGGATTAAAGTAGATAGCAACAAAATGGTCTCACAGATTAGTTGCTATGAGAAATTACCAAAATTAGGTTCATAAGTGTGACACACAATGAATAATGTCGCAAAAATATAGATAGGACAAGACACAGCAGATGAAAGATCAAATAGACAACATACAATGAAACAGTTCATTGGTAAATACCATCTTCGCATCTACTCACAGACGGAATACCATGCACTCATGCCCCAAATGATCTATGGCCTTCTAGAATTCTCAAGTATGCCACACTGTTTCTTAAAGGTAGATTACTACATAATGAGCCAACTAAATGTATTTGAAATTTTTCTTACACGTATTTTCAAACATAAATTTTGGGGGGAAAAGGATACTACTAGCTGGGAATCTTTTCACAGAATACTAATTACTAACAGAACATTCGTGTTCCACTCAACACAGTTTGAGACTGCCCATACAGATAACAGAAATCTGTTTTGGAGTTGAAAACAAATATTTCCTTTAGGATTACGAAAATAAGCCAATATTTACAAAACGTTTTAACATATGATGTTGAAGAGGATGGCATGTTTTGCTATTAGATATCTACTCACTTAGGAAAACAAAAATTCCAAAAATTGTTTCCATAACTTAAAAAAATAGGTTAAAAGGTACAGTTAACATGTACATAATCAAGAATTGCCTGGTATTTCAAAAAATTTTGCCTTGACTTGAGAGAGAGGTTTACAATAAAGGAAATCTTTGTACTTAGGAACTGCAGTACCCTTAAATTTTTTTCCCCAAATATCTATTTCTCAATTTCATTTTGGTTTTAATTAGTAAATTATTACCTCATAGTTAAGTGCTTGTCTTCTGCCAGTCTTAATCAAGGTGATTAAGTAAAAAGATCTAGTTTTGTGCTGTGACATGAACCAATGGAAATATTTTTGAGGAACACCAAAGTCAGCCATTCTAAACAGCTGCTTCTTTGAAGAAATGCTGGAAAAGAGAGTACCAATCTTTTTTATTTTTCTTTTTAGTTGGGTAGGTAAGATACACAAAGGTAAATGACATTAGTAACTGTTTCTAAATAGAACTAAGGTTCAAGCCAAAAAAGAAGAAAAACTTATAAGTAAACAAAAAACCAACCTGATAACTAAACCATCTGCTAGCTAATGAAAATGCTTATTTTGGCAACAACATTCCCTAAAGAAAGCAAATGTTTGCCACTGTTGAGTCTAAAATATTTCCTTCAAGTCTCATAATTACATGGCTCCAAAATGTTCTATCACTTTTCAATAGGTCAGTATGTCTCCCTTAAGGAAGCATTTTTCTAGTAAAAGAACATAACCATTCTGAAAATGTTGCCTTGGCCCAACTTACAGATGCAGTAAAAGATATGAAATTAGGCTATTCCAGAGAACTGATACCTTCCTCCTTCCTCTATGTATACAAGAAGACATAATTTAAACAAATTTTTTGAACAGTCTCAACTATTAAGAACACCTGAACAGTCTCAACTATTAAGAACACCAAAAACCTTTGGCTACAAACAACGAAAGAAACATGCCTTGGAACCCAAGATTTAGTTAGTGCCCAGGTCACTGGCCCACTGCCACCCTGCCGCTGAACTGCTGGAAGCAAACTGGTGGCTCAGGCCCAGCTCCTCAAGACAGAAGCCTCCACATTCAGGCTCAGGGAATCCCAAACAGGCACAAGAAGTCTCCCGCTGAATGCAGAATGACTCATGCCCACCTCTATGCGAGCAGGGAAGGCGCCTGTCACCAAGAATCCCAGATCATTTACTTACCAAACATTTCCATTTTGCTACACCATATTTCCCAAAGCAGACATTTTATTCCTTATCAGAAAGGAACTGGTATAAGACAAAGAAACCAACCTAAATGCAGCTCAAAAAAAAACCCCAAAAATACAAAAAAAAAAAACCCCACACTATCTTTCACGTATTAATTTGA